CACGTTGATGGGCGCGGTGCCAGGTTTCAAGGGAATTTCATGTTCTAGATGATCGGTCACCCCTGGTGAATCCCCTGGTAATTGCACGATAGAGTTATACTCCTCCAGGATTTCCAGAAGAGAGTCCCTCTCTTCCCTGTTCAGATNACTTTTACTAGGTCGTACGACGCCACTTTGCAGCATCTCCTTGACCTGCCGGTCAACCTCCCCCATCTGCGCTTCTGGTAACCGGTGAGGTCTCACGTTGATGGGCGCGGTGCCAGGTTTCAAGGGAATTTCGTGTTCTAGATGATCGGTCACCCCTGGTGAATTCCCTGGTAATTGCACGATAGAGTTATACTCCTCCAGGATTTCCAGAAGAGAGTCCCTCTCTTCCCTGTTCAGATGGTCAATCCTCAAACTCTCGTGCAACAGCTTAACGCGATCTTTTATTTCGGTTTTCTTGGAACTTCTCAGCATCATAATAATTTCTTTCGAGGGTAGAGGTTCAAGTCCTACAGTTGGTAGATCGATAAATACATCATTATCGTTGGTGTTGATTACACAAACCATTGTACTGCTTGACCATTTACCGCCCTGGGTAAGCATTCTCCCATGAATACTCCTTTTACCAGTTGTTTTTTCTGCATGATCTGTCTTTGCACCGTGTGTAGGAACTCGAACTAAAATTTCACTTCTGGCTTCAATTTTTGCGGGCTCTCTGTCTTGGAATAAATCAAAAGGACGTCCATTAATTATTAACGCCTTTCCGTGCATTGTTTGCACATCTAGGCTAGAAGAAGACAAAAAATCCTCGCCTAGTATACCTCCGATGCAAGGAAAACTCTCAGGTACTACTTGAAAGGCATGTCCCAGGTATTTTCTACCAATTTTCAGGTATAATACCACCTCCCCCAAGGTTGCCACATCCTGATTGGAGATTCCTCTCAGGACTCGATTCCCCGGTGAGATTTCAACATCGTCCTCTAATTTATCTTTTCGTACAAGAGATGCTTTCGCTCCCGAATCTGCCAGGAATAAAGTAGGCTCCTTCAATTCAGCTGCACTGAGTAAAATCTGCGTTTTAATCTCAGCAGCCTTTGCTGGTTTTATCATCTGCCTTTTAGATTTTTTTGAAGAATTCCTCCCCTCCTCGGAAGATTTCACCATCATCACTTGATAAGCCCCCACTGGTAGAACTTTATCAGCATCAGCTTTCTCGCCTTTCTTTTTTGCAGAGTTGTTGTTATTGCTGGCCGTTTTGTCGTTTTTGTGTGTCGAGGCCATACCATCTTTGCTATTGGTCAATTCTGACGGAACTTTTTGTGAATTAGGTATCCCCAATCTTTTTTTCAACTTACGACAATCCGTAGCCTCATGACCTGCATATTTGCAGTATTTACAAACGGTCTCAAAAGCGTTGACGCTGCGTCTTTCCGTTGCAATTGGTAACATTGACTTACGCTGTCCGTTATTACGACATTCCTTCGATTGATGCCCCGGCTGTCCGCAAGTAAAACATTTCCCAGTTGATAGCCTACCCAGAGAACTTCGATTTCCTCCGGAAAAATTCTTCTGCGCTGTTGTAACTCCTCCACTCTTCCCCTTGTGCGCGCCAGAAATAGTTTTTTCTAGCTCTATAGCTCCCACACAAGCCTCATGGAGAGTTTTGAAATTATGTGCTCGTACCAGAATCTGTAAATGCCCTCGCAATCCCTGCTCGAACATTAGTTTTGCCAGGGTCAGCATGAGTGTCTTGGAAGCTAATTTTTCCTTCTCTGTGAACTCATTATGCAGACCTAGTAACCCGTTCAAGAACCCGTCCAAAGTGACATCTTCCGTGCGAGCCACATATTTAGTAACATCTTCGTTTTCCTTCTGCTGTAGTCTACTGAACTCCACCTGAAGACCCAACAAACTTTTTGTTTTCCCAAAAAGCGACTCTAACTCAGTTTTTAGTTGTTCGAATGACGTAACTGTTCTGTATTTCAGTTGTTTCATGGCACTGCCTTCCAGTTTACTCCCTAAAATTCCTTCTAATAGAAATTCTTGGAGCTCAGGATGGATCAATTTTTTTGCGCTTTCGACTGATTTCATGAAAGCATCCAATTTATCCGGATTTTCCCCTCCGAAATTACGTACCATCTGCAGAGCGCCTTTCAAATCGAGATGTGTACGTACAGTTTCTCGATGATTTTGGACATTTTGCTCTGCCCAGGCATCTGCTAACAGGTCTCTTACGTCATTCCTCTCCCTTTCAGCCTCCTCTCGACGAAGCCGCTCGGATTCCAGAAGTTGTTGCGCTTTCTGCATTTCCTCCTCCCTTTTCCTGTTTCTCATCTCAAGGGTCGCGACTTTTTCATGTAAATCGACTATTTTCCCTCTGAGATGATCTAAACGTCTAGGCGGTCGCTCTTCCCCCGATTTTTCCATATCAGGTGGTATAGTTTCACGACGCCCATCTTCAGGAGTGCGATTTGGTTTAAAGCCCCCTGCTCCAAGTGCCCCCGCCTGGAAGAAGACGTTGCTTGGGGTAGAAAAGTGTAGTTCAGGCGTGTCATTTATTTCCTCTGCTCTTTCCTCTTCCTCCGGAAGTTCCTCGATGTCCTCAAATGGATTTCCCGGCACGTTTTGTGGAGGATTAGCAGGGTAAAGACGTACATTATTTGGGGAATTTGAGATTCTCCCGTTACTTCTTTGCGTGCTATTGCCGCGCCCAGCCCCAGGTAATTCGTCCGGTAACTCGTCCCCAGCATCCCGGTGAACCTCGGCCCGTACCTATCGCTGATTAGCGACTATCATGCTTTGATGCAAAGATTGGGTATATCTTCGGCGCAGATTAACATTTCTGTCAATCTCCCCATCTGAGTTGAATAAATTCCTCCGTGCTCCCGGCGCAGAGAGAGAATAGGAATCAAACTCACTTTCTTATCGACTACCTCCTGGAGTTGACATACCGATTATTTATCTCTTGGCCAAAAAAAAATGAAATAATCTTACTTGGGTAGCTACTACTCGATACTAGTCCCTTCTGTCAGACTAGGTTTCCACTGTACTAGCCCTTTTATTACGAATATGTAGTAGGGTAGGTTTCTGCCGTTAACCACTATGGCTAATCTCTCGCGCCCCCGATGAAAAGGTCCACGAAAATCTTCGGCTTGTTTACCTCGAAGGTAATAATCTTCTCGCTCCCTCGATGAAAAGGTCCACGAAAATCTTCAGCTGGTTTACCTAATAGGTAATCTTCTCGCTCCCTCGATGAAAGAGTCGTTGCACGTGCAGGCCAGACTACCCTCAAATAGTCCAATTCCTCAAATAATATCTCGTTCTCTATTACTGTGTAATTAGACAGTGGTTGATCAGGCCTCCGTCTTCCCAAAATAACGCTGCCACCAAAATATGTAATGGACCCGAGCGGTTGGGTTCAATTAGGGATGAATTACACGCGGGTAGTTAATAGAAATAATTACTTTATTGGGAATTGGTTTTTTAATCATTAATTTAAAAGTTATTGAATAAATAAAACTCGGTTTGATACTGAATGTATCAAGCGAGTTTAAAGTATAAAGAAGGTAATCAAAGGATTGACAAGTAACTGGCCCCGAGACAACGATTACACGAGTTTTTATCACCTCATGCAATACGATTGCATCAGGTCATTGTTCTTCGTCGCACACCTGCAAGGCATCGGGTGACGTCTTCTCGGTGTACGCGAAGGCCAGTCGTCGGGGCGCAAAGTGCTGACGCTGCACCCCAGTTATCTGTATATTTCTTCATTCCACTGTTTGTTTCGAATAACTTGTGCCACTTTCATCACTTCATGTTATTCGAATAAGCAGTTGAATTTTGGAATGTTATTTGGGGCATAACAAACTGCTTTTTTTATATTCATGGCCTATAGATTCATCCTCATCCGAACAACTATCAAGTGATTCTTTAAGACGCGGTTGGAACGCTGTATCCTCAATTGGTATCATTTCGATATCTTTATACGGCTCTTGGAAATCGAGAGTGGATTCTTCAATCATTTCCACACCATTATATTCCTCTATAGTTTCTTTCAATATGGTCTCGAAATTAGTTGCCAATTCTCGTTCTTCATTAGTTACAGGAGTTTCCACAAGATTCATCACTTCAAATCCTGCCATGAAGAGCTTAATAACGTTTATAGGATTGAATCTCATGGTGAAAACAATTGAAGATATAAAATTATAAAGAGAATGTTTTCCCGTGATATGTTTATGTAGACTGAACAGTGTGCGAAACGGATGAGAACAAAATTGCAGAAATATTCGCGGGTATCAATAATGCATGATTACTGGGAGGGTATTCTCGAGTTGGGATCGTACGGTCTAATGACGGTCCGTCGTACACGACATGGAATCGTATACGCTCGGGGTCGCTCGGTTCGAAGTTGTGCGCATACGACTTTGGCTCGCATACGACCCCTTCCGCTCCCGTGCGACTTCTTCGCTCGCATACGATTGAACGATCGACCCATGAAAAACGTATGACCTGTCAATCGATAGGCAGATTTCTCTTCAGATCGTAACGAGTGCCACTAGTGTAATTATTACTTTCCCATTGTTTCGTGTAATAAGTTATTTTTCAATTTGAACTCGAAAAACAAAAAGAAATGGATTATACTCCTCATTTATTCGATCTCGTGGATGGAATCGTGGACGAAGCTCAAAGGCGAGGAGGTTATCCACGCATTTTCCATGAGCGGTATGATCCATTTGAACTTCCAGAGGATCGATTTGTCGAGCATTTTCGCTTGAATAAATCGCTAGTGGATGATTTAATTGATCTCGTGACTGACCGTCTCCCTGCTCCTTCAAGACGATCAGCGTTGGATCCAACGGTAAAGGTAATATTGAAATGCGGTCCATTTAGCACATTGTTAATATCATCATGCAACCCCATTTGTCAGGGAAGCTATCAAATTTTCCAAGGTTTTGAGCACCTTACGATTCATGGCAGCGGGGAGTTTCCAGAATGATGTTGGGCATAATATGTATATGGCTATCAGCCAACCATCAGTGAGCCGATGTATCCATGAAGTCATTGACATTCTAAACCAACCTGATGTCTTCAACGAGTGGGTTCACTTTCCACGAAATCTGGGAGAACTGGAAGAAGTTCGTTGGGAGTAGGTTCATTTGATTCAAACTAAAGAAAATTTATAAATGACAAAATTCCTAACGTGAAAATATCTCTTCCCCATGACAGCTTTTACGAAAATTTTCGATTTCCTGGGGTCATTGGGTGCATCGATGCACACACGTGGCAACGTGCACATGCTCCACCCAAACATGACGTGGAATACTTATATGTGAACCGGAAGGGTTATCACTCGTTAAACGTGCAGTTGGTATGCATCCATCCCAATCTAGGTTACAACCAATGTCCCTTTGTCACTTATAATTATCATGTTGGTTTCTATACCTTAGATCTGTGATGCTAATTATCGTATTCTCAATGCGAATGCGAGGTATCCAGGACGATCTCACGATAGTTTTATATGGAACAATTGTGAAGTACTCCCATTGATGCGTAGACTTCATGCAACTGAACGTGATGATTTCTTCTTGCTCGGTATTTTTCTATTCATTGAGACATATCGAATATGTATCCTTGTTGATCGAATATTAAATGCAATTGTATCTATAGGGGATTCTGGGAACGGTCTACGTCCTTGGCTAATGACACCAATGCTCGATGCTGCTCCTGACTCACCAGAAGAGCGATATACTCGTCAAGTAACTCATACTCGCTCACTGTTTGAACGAGTTAACTCTGTTCTCAAGATGCGGTTTCGATGCTTACAAAAGGGTCGAGCCCTTCACTATGATCCAGTAGTAGCAGCAAAGATAACAAATGCATGTATCGTTTTACACAATATTTGCATTGCAAATCATATCCTACCTCCACCGATGATCCAAGAAAGCGAAGATATAGATTTCGGCATCCACAGACAGTTCCTGAAGACGGGGATGCACCTGTTATAAGAAGGGTTAATCCAGAATTGAGCCGAGGGAGTAGTCGTCAACGCCAGTTGATTGCAGCTTTCTTCACGTGATTTCCACCGATAAGACAATGTTGAAAGCAAAAAAAAAAACACTCGTAGGAACTCAAACAATGTTTATTATTTCAATGGTTTACATCTTTAGTATACTTAAAGTAGAATTGGTTGAAGAAATAGGTATAACTGCATTTCAAACTCAGTCGTTACTAATTGACTACCCTGTTTGTCATATTAAATATACTTAATTTTATTATAGTACCTTGTTAATCTCAAAAAATGGGTATCACAGTCTCTCACTCTGCCTATGAAACTGTATCACATCTCTTTCCTCACAATAACGTCCGACTTTCATAAAACGAGTGAAGTAACAAACGAAAATAATCTATTATACCTATCAAATAATGCACTCATTGGTTTCATTCTCTGATTCTCTGTTTGATGATAATAAGGAATAAATTGAATGGATGAAATGTTGACAACTCAAAATAGTTTTGCTATAAAACAATAAGGCTAACTAATCTATTCACTTCTCGATATTAATTCTGATAAACTCTGGAGTTTTTTTCTTTGGATCTTATCTGATTCGAACGAGTACTCATCAAATCAAAACATAGGGAATAAAAACGAATAACAGAGTAGACTCTACTCAACAACAAACTTAATTCTAATCAATTGGTTTTTTTATTTCCGAAATTTCAAGTGATATCTAATTAACTCTTTTAGAGATAGAATAGATGAACAATAACTCCATGCTCATTATTTTTATCAGCTATTCAACCCCAGATTCTAAAAACTAATGAGCATTATAAACTCTTAATCAGTCATTGAACAGGAGTAATAATTAACGTTAATGACTCGATGACACATTGCGTAGCGTATTTGTCTTCTTCAGTATCAAACTTCGTAACCTGAATATTCATGATCTTCTAAGTAAAACCTCTCAACAAATCTCAAACTGCCTGCAATTTTTTTTCTACTTGAAAGAAAGCTCAGTGCACGCAACCTCTTTGAGGAACCCCGATAATTATAAAGGAAAATCTTGAGTCAAAAAATATAGTTCGCGATCGCCTCTCCAATTTTTTCCAATGCTCGGGTTTTCCGAGCTTTCAAACGTTGGTTCTCCTCCAGGATTTCAATTTTCCTCTGGTGATATGTCCTTAGCTCAGTTTTCCTTTTATAAAAGGTACTCTTCAGGGAAAGATCACTAGACATAATGGAAGTCATTCCATTGGATGTTGCAATGGCACTCTCCAACCTCCTACCTGGATTTGAACGTGCCCTGATGGAACCTGGAAATATTTTAACATTTAATTATTATATTATTATTGGCAAATACCTCGAAGACCAACTGTGAGAGTTAGCATAAATTTTGACGCTCACTTTTTTTAATTCCTTTCTTATCCAATTTTTCCTCCTTGAATTCCACTTTTGGTTTATTAACAATATTTTTATCATTCTCTTTATCGCCATCTTCAACGTTCAGTAACATGATGCCCTCTGTATCCTTTCCCTGTGTAGTATTAGACTGTGAAATAACTGTACTGTTGCTATATTGTGGATTGAAAACTATTGAAGTCTTGTCATCTTGGAAGTCTGAATAAATTGCACTCGAAAACTCGTTTTCAACCTCTATAGCCTGAACTTTCAATCCAAAAATCTGACTCAATGTATCCTCACAAGCCGTCTTCTGTTCTTCATATCCTTCACCATCAGACACAGTCTTTAATCCATCAGCCTTATATTCGCCACCTTCTTCTTCATCAATAGCAGTCTTCAAAACATCAGTTTTCTGTTCTTCAATTTCTTCATCACCAGGAATCTTCAAATCGTCGATGTCCTGTTCCTCAGCTTTCCCCTCATCAGTAGCAGTCTTCAAAATATCAATCAACTGTGATTTTTTATTATCTCCCTCATCAGGAGCAACCTCTGGAGCATCAATCTTCTGTTCTTCATCTTTGTTGTCCTCAGGAAAATCCTAAATGGAAGAATTTGATTAAGAATTATGAAAATATTTCAGAATTCGACGAATAAACTGTTGATATAATGAAAGAGCTATCATGAATTGGAGAAGTATCCAATGTCTGTTTCATTCACTATGTAGTTGTCCCGTTCTTGAGTTATTTGAGGGGAAAAAGTCAAAAGACTATTTTCGTTGGGAATTAATCCTGCTACAAAAAAGTTTGTTGATATTTCATCATAAAATCAATCGCTATCAAGATAAAAGGGCGATTACCAACGATATCAATACTTCCAGTACTTTGATGATTACAAATGCCATTATTTTGATAATGAGTGATTTTAGATGAAAATGTCAAGAGGCAATTTTCGTCGGAAATTCATGCAGCTACAAAAGAACTGTACTGATATATTCCCATAAAATCAATCGTTACCAAGATAAATGGATAATTTCATCAAATGTCACTTCATGTAAAAAATCGCTCATCAAAAATACCTTCATATACTTACAAACTCGACCTCAGATTCTGCAATATCTTCCAGTCCATTGATCAAAACTGGGTCTATGATCTCTGCAAGTTTATCATCATCAGTATTCTGTGCAACCTGCTCTGGAGGACCACCCCCAGTTGCTCCTCGCGATTTGTTCTGTGATGCTTTGTTGTTCTTCACGTTAGTCTTCCAATCTTGATAACACTAGAAGTAAATAATCCCACATCAACATCCTCGTTCATATCTATCAATGAAATTAACCCCACTTTCGAACTTACTTTTCTCCATTTTTTCCAATCTTTTTCTGGACCTTGCAGCACATTTAGAAGTTTTGCCAATTCCTCCCACAATTTTTGAGCATCTTTGATAGTGAAATTAGGTGCAAATTGTCCACTTATCATTTTGGGATGATTTTTGATAAACTCCAACATAAGATTTCTTTGGGCTGCTGTGATACTCCTCGCCTCTGTATTTTGTTTGACCTTCTTTGGCATCTTCGATGCTCTTCATTTAATGTTTAATAAGTAAAAACCCGGAGGAATAGTAATAGAACTGTATTTATACGACGAGGGTAAATTAATAGTTATACGCTACTAGAATGATTGGACGTTGAGATTAGAGTTCCCGGCGACTCGATCGTATGGAAGGAAAGTGCGAGCGAAGAAGTCGCACGGGAGCGGAAGGGGTCATATGCGAGCCAAAGTCGTATGCGCACAACTTCGAACCGAGTGACCCCGAGCGTATACGATTCCATGTCGTGTACGACGGACCGTCATTCGACCGTACGATCCCAACTCGAGAATACCCTCCCTGGAGTGTTTCTTAGATCGATTGGTAGCATTGGTTCAATTTGGCCTTGCGACTCTGGAAAAAGAACCACCAGAGACCAAAACGACGTTCCAACAATATTTGAACAAAGAAGCGGTAGCCGGTCTAAATATCCGGTCGGAAATCTCCAGTAAATAATGTCCATATTAAAATATCCAATTTGAAATTATCCAATTGCAAGAATATCCAATGGTAATATATCCGCTCACATTATATGTCAGTTTCAAGGTAGTCTAATTTTATTGTTTTGAACTGTTTGGAACTGTATTTGACCAAACAGTCAAAACAGTCAGTGTTCTGTTTTTGATATTGATGCTCGTCTTAATCGGGTTGTTCAAGATTATTCTGTTGATGATGTTGTTGGTTTTCCTTAATAACATTTCGTACAATATTTCTTTGTAAATTGTTGTGTAATAAAGATTTTCCTCTTATTTTGTGGATATTTTGGACTTTTTTGCTCGTTTTTCTTTTGGTTTGGGGTTTTTTTCCATGGTTTTTTTTTTGATATTTTTGTTTTGGACATATTAGCCTTGGATTTTTTTTTTTATGTTCTCAACTGGGTATTTAGACCTATGTTGGAAATCCTGTCAGCTGACAGGTCCCTCACACTAACGCACGCAAGGCTCATCCATTCTCTCCCCACTCACGCACACCTGACGCGCTCACCTCAGATGACCGGGGGTTGTTAATTCGGACACCTGAGGCGCCACGTCCTGGACAGCTCCTTATTACCATATGATCTATATTAAATTAGGTCATGTGACCATCGAATTAGGGCACGTGGCACCTGTAAGCCCGTGTCTCTCTCTCATTCGTTTCCGGGATCTAGTTAGAGACACTTCTTTTATTGTACTGCTCATCTCTAGTGACTCGGACTAACTCATTGTGTCAGCTCAATTATTATCAATTCAAGGAATTAGTCGGCTCATTATTATCGGTCCGCTCATTATTACGGTTGCTCAGTGACTCAATCTCTAGTGACTTATTTATTGTGAACATTTTCTTTGACAAATACAGTGAATTTGTGACCACGTGCACGTGTTCCGCTCATTTCTTGGTTCTACTCATCCCACTCCCCGTAATCCGACTCCAACTCATCCATCCGCACAATTAATTCCCCGATCCAGGCATCTCATCAAACATTTTGGTCCTTCGAGCCGGATCGGTGGAATATTTTTCGGTTTTCGTTTTTTTTGTTGGGTTTTGGCGGGAGTGGAAGTGCCGCGGTCAGTGGTGCTCAACCTACGGGGACCAGCTCGTTGGCTCAGCGTACGCAGTGGACCTCAACCAGTCCAGCTCTCCAATCATCAGGGAACTGCATTACCGGCCCGCGGGAATATTTGAATTTTGGAGCAGCTCATCCCCGGGACTTTGGACTTTTTTCTCAACTGCAGCGTTCCTGCACTGGTCCAGCTCAACATCACTCACTCGGCTAGGTAGCATTTAATTACCTCTTGCTACTTTTGCCATTTTTTCCTTTTTTTTGAATTTTTTGGAGCATTCAACTTTGTTTTTTTTGGCTACCGCTCCCTTTATATTCTCCAACCCTTTTTCGTTTTTTTTGAATTTTTCAATAAATTCTCGCGCCTGCTCAACGGAATCGCTCACTGCTGCTACCTACTAAATTAAGACTCTTCGGTGTTATTACTGTTGCCGCTCAACCGACCGGATACTTAATTTTATCGCTTCTCACTGCTCACTGCTTGGCTTTTGGGGTCGCCTTACTTAGGTTTTTTCGGTTCATTCCTTTTTTTGAGCTGCGCACTTATTTTCAATTATGGCATCATTTGAGGCGACCATTAGCCTGAATAACTCTCGGGCAGCGTTCATCGAACGCGTTTACAAGGAGCTGCTCACAGAAGAGGCGAAAAGCCTCACAATCTCCAATCTCCAGGGTAAACTCGAGATCCTGGAGACCTACTGGGAAAAATTCGAGAGCACTCATGAGAAGCTCATCGCTGGCAGCGGCAAGATCGAAGGGATCCTTGAATTGCCGTACTTCAAGGACCATCGGTTCGACATTACTATCGGGCATTATCATGAGGCAAGGGGTATTTTAAGCCAGCTCATTGATAAAAGGGGGATCTCAGGTTCATCTCGTCGGTCTCTCGCGTCTGGGACGGCTCAGCCCACATACTCCAAGCGTTATCTCCCTGAGATTTCTCTGCCCAAGTTCGGAGGGGCCTATGCGGACTGGCGCTCGTTCCGCGATCTTTTCGCGTCTCTGGTCGGCTCGAATACGGATCTATCCAACGTGGAGAAGATGCATTATCTTCGTACTAGTCTCTCAGGGGAGCCAGCTCAACGCATCGCGAATCTTACGATCTCGGATGAGTCATTCTCGATTGCATGGGAACTGCTCTTGTCTCGCTACGAGAATAAGCGACTGCTCATTTCAGCTCATTTGGAACAGCTCCTCAGTCCCCCAACCATGACTTCTCACAGTGCCAAAGAGCTCAATGCCCTGCTCACTGTCACCTCTGAGGCACTTAACGCTCTGGAGGCTCTCGGCTCCCCAACCTCCCAGTGGGACCAGGTGATCGTACATACGGTCTCGCAACGGCTCAGCTCAAAGCTTCGTGAAGCCTGGGAGGTCAAGGTCGGTTCATCGGCGGAGTATCCTTCATACAAGGACTTCAAGGATTTCCTCACTGGGAGAGCTCGCGCGATGGAGAGCATCGAGATTAACTCGGTTCCTCGTGCTCCTGCCACAAAGCCCTCCAATGTCAGCTCATCCAAGCAGTCGACCGCTGCGAAGGTTCACCACGGCACCGCTCAACCACCACAAAAATCGAGGCCAGCTCCCAAGTCCGCTCCATCGGGGAAGGTCACGTACCCGTGCTCGATGTGTGAGGCAGACCATTACCTCACATCCTGCTCATCCTTCCGTCAACTTTCGGTATCAGCTCGTAGGGAGGTAGTAGAGCGTCGCTACCTCTGCTACAATTGCCTTGGTCGGCACTCGGTGAGGGACTGCAGGTCCAAGACCAAGTGCCAGTATTGCGGGGGCCTCCACCACTCGATGCTCCACAACCAGCCATCGAGTCAGCCTCAACGTCCAGCTCAGCAGAGGCAACAGACCAACTCAACCCAGCAAAATGCCGTTCCGGTGGTGACCTACACCCACGAGAACGACATCCCCATGGTGGTGACTGGTGACCAAGGCCAGTCAACGTCGTCGGAATGAAGATCACCAGCTCAGATTGCCGTCTCCTGCTCAGGTCACCATTCAGATTCCGGATCCGCTCAAGACTTCCGCCCTGGGGTCCTTCTGGCTACCAGCCTTGCGCTTTTGGTACGCCCAGATCAGCCAGCTCATCAGGTTCGTCTACTCATCGATCCAGGGTCGGAAATCTCCGTCATCTCAGACCAGCTCGTTCGTCAGCTTGGGCTGTTAAGGCTCAAGACACAGCTACGAATATCGGGGATTGGAGACACGGCATCTGGGCCGGCATTAGGCAAGGTTCGGCTCACAATACAGTCCACTTGCTCTCACTTTCAGCTCAGAGTTTCTGCCTATGCTCTCGGCCAGCTCACAACCTCATTACCGACATTCTCACCAAGTCAGCTCACATGGGATCATCTGGAAGGACTCCAGCTCGCTGATCCCGATTTTCTCATACCAGCACCAATTGACATCCTTCTTGGCGCTGATTTCTATTNCACCAAGTCAGCTCACATGGGATCATCTGGAAGGACTCCAGCTCGCTGATCCCGATTTTCTCACACCAGCACCAATTGACATCCTTCTTGGCGCTGATGTCTATGGACAACTCATCTTACCACAAGTCATCACCAACGGACCAAACTCACCATCGGCTCAGCTCACGCGACTTGGATGGATCGTATTCGGACCAACGGAAGGTCCTGATACTACTCAAGTAGCAACTTCTCATCTAACGGTCACCAACGAGGATCTCAACGAACTGCTCACCAAATTCTGGATCCAGGAAGAGATCCCTGGGACACCAGAGGTTCAGCTCAACGAGAAGGAAGCGCAGTGTGAAGAACACTTTCAATGGACCCACTCACGAGATGCATCTGGCCGCTACATTGTTTGGATACCGCTCAAATCTCCAGTTTCCTCGCTAGGAGATTCACGATCGTCTGCACTCGCTTGCCTCCATCGTCTGCTCAGGAAACTCTCACGTGATGAGGTTTATCGTCAGCTCTACACGGACTTCCTCAGGGAATATGAAGAGCTCGGCCACATGCGTCGAGTCTCCGGACAGCTCGCTAGATCAGCTCATCAGCGCTAGCTCAATGGGGAGGGGGCACGGGCACCGAAATGACCTTAGCACATGAGGCCTCGGCTTCAGGAGGGTTGAGGGTTTCGGGCCGTCCGTGTTCTTCTCGGGCTGACGCTCCTCCGGAATATTTCTTCCCTCATCACCGAGTTCTCAGGGCGAGCAGTAAGACAACGAAGCTCAGAGTTGTTTTCAACGGCTCCAACAAGACCAGCTCAGGACAATCGTTGAACGAGATTATGCACACGGGTGAGAAGTTGCAGAAGGATATCTCGGATGTACTTCTCTTTTCTCGGCGGAAACGGCTCATTTTCATGACGGACATAACCAAGATGTTTCGTCAAATTCGGGTACATCCGGAAGATTGGCCACTCCAACAAATACTCTGGACCGACTCAAACGGAGATATCGCCACCTATCAACTCACCACGGTCACATATGGCACTAGGTCAGCTCCGTTCCTCTCAATGCGTGTTCTTCATCAGCTCGTTGAGGATGAAGGATCGAACTATCCTCTCGCTGTGGAACCGCTCATGAAAGGACGATATGTTGACGATATCTGCGGGGGTGCTGACTCAGATGAAGAGCTACTCAGGACCGCTCATCAGGTGACACAGCTCTGTCGGTCAGGAGGCTTTCCGCTAGCCAAATGGCACTCAAATAGCCCAGCTCTACTCACATCTCTTCAACCTGACAGCACCTCTCAAGAACAACGATTCATAGAGGACTCGCTCACCAAGATTCTAGGGGTTTCTTGGCATCCTGGAACGGACAACTTCAAGTTCTCCGTCACTCAGCCTGAGACCAGCTCAATAACGAAGAGAATCATTTTATCGGAAACGGCTCAACTCTTCGATCCACTGGGTTTCCTAGCGCCAGTGGTCATACGAGCGAAGATATTGCTCCAGGCTCTATGGATCGAGAAACTGGGATGGGACGAACCAGTTTCCCAGACAACTGCTCAACGATGGAGCCAATTCAGGGAGGAGCTCACACAGTTATCAGAGATCACCATACCTCGGTGGCTTGGACTGCTCACGGATTCCGTCGTCGAAGTACACGGTTTTTCCGACGCATCACAAGTGGCGATGTCAGCCGTGATCTATCTCAAGGTTCTCAACAAGGGAAAATCACAACTCACATTGGTTTGCTCAAAAACGAAGGTCGCACCGCTCAAACGGCTGACAATCCCACGACTAGAACTCACTGCGGCTCTCCTCCTGGCCAAACTGACTAAGTACGTCAAGGACCAACTCAATCTCACGAACGCCACCACCTATCTCTGGACCGACTCATCGGTCACGCTCACGTGGATCAGCTCACACTCCTCAAGATGGAAGGAGTTCGTGAAAAATCGGGTGGCACTCATCCAGGAGCTCACTCAGCAGGCTCATTGGAGATTGGTACCGGGCAAGGAGAATCCTGCAGACTGTGCATCTCGAGGTCTATCAGCGCACCAACTGGTATCTCATAAGCTCTGGTGGAAAGGGCCACCATGGCTTCATCAAGACTGCTCATCATGGCCAACTCACGCTCTGGAAAAAGACCTCAGCGCAGACCTCGAGGAAAAGCCAGGAGTTCTCCTACATGTAAAAGCTCATCCAATCGCGCTCTGGAATCTCGTCGACAGATTCTCATCGTTCAACCGACTGCTCAGGGTCACAGCAATCTGTCGACGATTCATAGCTCGGCTCAGGAAAACCCCCAACTCTTCTCTTCGATACCCGCTCACTCTTGGTGATCTTGAAGAGGCTCGCATCCTCTGGATCAAACTCACGCAGGCAGCTCACTTCAAGGATCAACTCAGAGCGATCTCACGAGGGGAAAGGTTCAGCAAATCCCACCCCCTCACCAAGCTCACACCCTTCATCGATCGCCAAGGGGTATTGAGGATAGGAGGACGGCTCAAGTTTGCTCACATAGGCCCGGAGAGCCGGAACCAAGTGATTATTCCGAAGGAATCTCAACTGGCTCAGCTACTCATCGGACAGGCTCATCTAAGGACACTCCACGGAGGCACACAGCTCACCCTCAGGCAGCTCAGAAGTAGCTACTGGATACTCGGAGGTCGAGCACCAGTACGCTCCTTCATCCTCAAGTGCGTTAACTGCACTCGCCAACGTGGAGTACGCGCTCAACAGCTCATGGGCCAGTTGCCACCAGCCAGACTCACTCCCGCTCGAGCCTTTCTCAACACTGGGATCGACTATGCCGGCCCAGTGTCTCTACGGTCCTGGAAAGGGCGGGGACACAAGTCGTACAAAGGCTGGTTGGCTATCTTTGTCTGCATGACCACCTCAGCGGTCCATCTCGAGGTCGTGTCAGACTACTCAGCCGAGGGGTTCATCGCGGCGTATAGACGCTTTTCAAGTGGGCGTGGGATCGCTCATTCCTTGTTTAGTGACTGTGGGACCAATTTCCTTGGCGCTGACAAGGAACTAAAGAAGCTCTTCTCGTCAGGATCAGCTCAATCAAGACAGCTCGCACAGCTCCTCATCAATGATGGGACTCAGTGGTCCTTCAATCCTCCAGGTGCTCCGCACTTTGGAGGGAAATGGGAAGCGGCGGTGAAGTCGGTGAAGTTCCATCTCACCCGGACGATCGGAGAGGATCTGCTCACTTTTGAGGAACTCACCACTTTGCTCGCTCAAATCGAGGCAGTGCTCAACTCACGACCACTGGAACCGCTCACGGATGATCCTGATGACTGTTCAGCCTTGACGACCAGGGCATTTTCTCATCGGTCAGGCTCCCACGACTCTTCCAGAGCCATCTTTAGAGCAACTCAACGTCTCAAGGCTCTCTAGATGGCAGCTCATTCAGCAGAAGCTTCAAGGATTCTGGAAGAGGTGGTCCACGGGATATCTCCAACGTCTTCAAGCGATATCCAAGTGGCACCATCCGACTCATCAGATACGGATCGGCTCACTGGTTCTACTCACGGACGAGAGATTCCCGCCAGCGAAGTGGCCTCTCGCCCGAGTGACCGCTCTGCACCCAGGATCGGACGGACTCACCAGGGTAGTCACCATCAGGACTGCTCAGACGACGCTGACAAGGCCAATCGCCAAGCTCGTCCTCTTACCCATCTCACTTTCAGGGGAATAGAACCAGGACAGCTCACCGGCTTCTCACCGTTGGACTTCGTCAACTTCGACGGATTTACGACCCTGACCAACCGACGGGGTTCAACGTGAGAATGACAGCAGCCAACGCAGAAGGGATTTACGACCCCCGACGTCTAGGATGCTGCCATGCCTAGCCAGCGCACCTTCCGGACGGTCTCACGGACTCACTCATGGGTGACAAGCTCCGACAGCTCACCGAAGAGCGTTTTGAATTTTGTTTTTTGATTCAGCTCACCATGGCTCTACTCATTATGGTTGCGTCAACAACTTTACAGTTGCCGACGGCCGGGGAGAATGTTGGAAATCCTGTCAGCTGACAGGTCCCTCACACTAACGCACGCAAGGCTCATCCATTCTCTCCCCACTCACGCACACCTGACGCGCTCACCTCAGATGACCGGGGGTTGTTAATTCGGACACCTGAGGCGCCACGTCCTGGACAGCTCCTTATTACCATATGATCTATATTAAATTAGGTCATGTGACCATCGAATTAGGGCACGTGGCACCTGTAAGCCCGTGTCTCTCTCTCATTCGTTTCCGGGATCTAGTTAGAGACACTTCTTTTATTGTACTGCTCATCTCTAGTGACTCGGACTAACTCATTGTGTCAGCTCAATTATTATCAATTCAAGGAATTAGTCGGCTCATTATTATCGGTCCGCTCATTATTACGGTTGCTCAGTGACTCAATCTCTAGTGACTTATTATCGTGAATATAACTTTGACAAATACAGTGAATTTGTGACCACGTGCACGTGTTCCGCTCATTTCTTGGTTCTACTCATCCCACTCCCCGTAATCCGACTCCAACTCATCCATCCGCACAATTAATTCCCCGATCCAGGCATCTCATCAAACAACCTACAATCCAAAGAAGCCATTGCTAGGTTCAAAGAATATGCTCCTATGGCAATAAAAGAGGTCATCCGTCGGAATAAATGTAAACAACTTGAGGACGTCGCAAAAGCAATAGATTCAGAAGAATTCAGGCAACCCATGAGTTTGCCAGCCCCAGAGATACCAGATAATAATCAATACCGACACGTCACGGAATATCCATCGGTCCAAACACTCAACGGAAGCTGGGGAAATTCTCCTCCAAATCAGCAGCCGTCCCCCTATGGGTACGCGCCTCAGACACAATTTCAACAGCCGGTTCCAAGATATGCAGTCCACCAACAATATCAGAATCGGTATAATAATCAGCCGTCACACACGCCAACTCCAAGCAGAAGCTACGGTAACGCTGGACCCTCTTATGGTCAACGAGCGCACAATTCAACCGTCGATTTAGCAACGGCTCTCTTAAATGAATACATCCCGAGACGTCAGCTGGCAAGAACACCACCTGCATACGTCGGCGGTCCCAGTCAACGACCCCTTGACCGACCGCCCTTGCCTCCTCACCCACCGAATGTTACTCCCATTGTTATGGCTGAAGCTCCATCCGACATTCTGGAAAACTCTGCAATTCAGAATCTCCTCCACCAATTGAGGTTACAACAACCTCCCAATCCAGAACCTCCAGAGGATCAAGAGCTCGACTTGAGCCAGGTCCAACAACTGGCTACAATTCTTGCTGCAACGCAGAATCCTCCAAGAGAACACGCTCCCAGGGTCGAAAGACGGAGCGATGACATGACCGAGATAAAACAACTCCTGAACGACTACAAAACCTGTTCAACTGCCTACGAAAAAATGGACTCACCCTTCAATCAGACAAGTGCAGATTTTTTATGAAGGAAGTCGCATACTTGGGACATATCATAGACAAAGATGGTATCCACCCAGACCCTTCTAAAATAGAAGCACTAGTCGACATGTCTACACCAACTAACCAACATGGAGTTCGAAAATTCCTAGGGTTCAGCAATTACTACAGAAGATTTATTAAAGATTATGCTGAGATATCCCCACCCTTGAATCTCCTGCTCAAAAAGGATGTCAAATTTAACTGGACCAGTGACCAAGACGAAGCTTTCCAATTGCTCAAAGCCGCCATCACAGAGGATTCATTACTGTATCACCCTGACATGAATGAACCTTTTGTGGTACATGTCTCGAGCACAGAGAAGGGACTAAGAGCAATCCTGAGTCAGAAAGATGGAGAAGGAGACGACCACCCAATCCTTTTTGCATCCAGAACCCTACGAGGAGCAGAAAGTCGGTATACATCTTCAGAACTGGATTGCCTGGCAGTGGTCTATGCACTAAACCAAATCAAACCTTACATCCTTGGGGTGCCCTTCACAATTATTACCAGCACGCCTGCTCTAAATTGGCTAAGAGATTCCAGTAACCCTACATCAAGGCAAGTGAAGTGTTTCCACCAAGTGCAAGTAAAGACCTACTTGAACGATTTCGAATTTGAAGTAGAAATCAGAAAACAGAAAAAGGCACAATTGGCTGATGCCTTTGCGGAAAATCCACTGGAAGATGATGCCATCGAGACCATCGCTTTTGCTGTATGTCTTCCAGCAGGGGCGATGCCAAAGACTATCCTAAAACCAAGAAGAAAAATCGCAGACCGCAATCTTAGAGTTCGCTTCCACAGTGACCCTAAGACAATACCGGTTCCGGGTTCTTCCATAGCACAGAGAATCCGGGAGAGGTACATGACCGAAACCACCAGCGGTAAAAGAACACCAATCTCTTATAGAGATAATCGTGACTACCAATCTGCCCTGAGGAAGCGAAAACCAGGTGAAACCGCCGAAGATAAATTGGCTGTTGGACCCAATATCTTGGAAGCAGCAGATAAAAATCCTGTACCAGCGGTAGAGAAAGAAAACCCCGCAGTTCGACCTCCAACACCCTTGGGAGAAACACATGACACTGAACCTGAAGAAGTCGAAACAGGGAATGATGAAGAAACAGATTCTCAACGTTCATCCGAGGAACTCAAAACCACGGAGATATCGCTAGAAGGCGAACCACTTGATGAGGATGTCTTCGACACACCCCTGATCGTAGGGGGCCAACCCCACGACCAGACCATAGTGGAGTCTGAAGCTCTTATTGAGGAACAAGACGACGAAGTCGAAGAAATGAACGAACTACCAAAAATCGCGACTGAAAATCTTCAGCGATTTGATAACTTCATCACTAAACTTCGGGAACGAGAGATGCTGGAAGAGTCTCAAAATCGAAGCATCCCGGATTGGGATTATTACGACATACCACCGATTTTCCAATTAAAGAAAACGAACCTAAGTGACGAGTTCCTAGATCAGTTAGACGAGTCCAATCTATTGTTCGACGAGAAAATGACAGAGTATGGCGATCAATCAATTCAACTGACGAACCTGACGGACGAACTCCAAGATACCGCAGACACAACAGGAGAAGAATCAGACCTCCCCCCCCTCCGGAAGATGTCAATGATTCAACGGGGGCGGATACTAACATCCAATCACAAAATTTATCCATTTCTGAAGAAGTGAAGCAAACAGAGGATGATTTGTTACCGGGGGCGATTGAAGAATCGAAAGGTCCTTCCCAACACCTAGATAACACCACAGGTTTCCCTCTACCTACTCCTTCGTCTTCAATCACTCCCCCTAAAGAAGTCAACCACCCACCCATAAACCCAAACAACTCTTCAAAGTCTTCTACTATCACTCCTTTTGCACCAAATACCCCGCCAGAAGAAAGCGACCAGGAAGAAGATCCAATCAACGAAGACAAGAGTACCATACCCCTAGACGATCTTTACCAAACTGCTACAAACATCCAAGAAACTAGGGATGGGCTGACCTTCACCAGAGGGAACATCGCTCATTTCCTGGCAGCATATGCGGAACCAACCAAGCAAAACACCAAGTTCTTAAGAGATCTAGGTTTGATTAATCTAGATCACATCAGGAAATTAACACCTGAAGACCTGAAAAAAAAAATTCTAAGAGAATTAGAATTTAGAGAGAAAAAATTTCTGCTTCACCCAGCCGGGAATCGAACCCGGGTCTCCCAGATACGCGCCGGGCACTCTTACCGACTAAGCTACCGGGAACCACAGAAATTCACTCTCAAATTCACCTCAAACACCGCCTAACCTCCTTTAGGCATTAAAGAATTCTAAGAGAATTAGAATTTAGAGAGAAAAAATTTCCGCTTCACCCAGCCGGGAATCGAACCCGGGTCTCCCAGATACACGCCGGGCACTCTTACCGACTCGGATTCGGTACTTCCTAGAACAAGAGTTCCGATGCCAACCAGTCATTATCACCTTATGCCACGGGAAAATTGGAAAACCACCGCTGGCTCTAAGACCAGAAATAATAAAAGAATGCCATGAGACACTACCGGCAGGGCACAGGGGTATAGTCAAGACCTTCAATAGAATCAGAGAGAGATTCTATTGGCCAGGAATGAAACAGGAAGTCGAACGCTTCATTAAAACCTGCCAAATATGTCAGCTGGAAAAGATCCGACGGGTAGAATTTAAGCAACCCATGGTCATCACCGAAACACCCAGTGAATGTTTCGAGAGGATCTCCATCGACACAGTGGGACCCCTTCCAACAACCAGGAAAGGGTATAACCACATCTTAACGATCCAAGACAATTTTGCGAAACATTGCACCGCTGTACCGCTTCCAGACATCAAAGCGCATACTATTGCCCAAGGATTCGCGACACAGTATGTGGCTCAATATGGTTGTCCAAAAATTATCTTATCCGACAAAGGAACCAGTTTTCTCAGCAAACTGTTTGGACAATTAAGTAAGACCTTGAGATTCCATCACATTACCACTTCTGGCTACCGTCCACAATCAAACGGAGCGCTAGAGAGAAGTCACCACGTACTTGTTGAATATCTCAAGGCCTATACCAGTGAAATAAAAGATTGGAATGAGTTACTACCTTTTGCCATGCTGTCGTACAATACTACAGTACACAGCGCTACTAACTTTACGCCATTTGAGCTGCTGTATGGGAAACCAGCAAGAATCCCTTCCAACATCAATGAGGAAAATG